TTCGTTTCATTTATAGTGTCTCTAAATTGTGTATATATATAAGTTAATAAACTAGCATATGCATAGCGTCGTTTTATAACATAATATGAACCATGTTCAGCATGAAGGCATTTTTGTATCTGCATGTCTATGACTGGAGCATACATATGTAACCTCTGAATATATTGATATGTCGCAGAGACAGAATAAGAGAGGAGAGAGGCGGGCGTTAGTGTTGGTGTGTGTGCGGCTTAGTGCTACCGGTATCACTATTTACCGTATTATCACGTAGTTTATAGTATTCATCTACACCCAAATGCCATGTGGGATGTATTGATAAATGTTGGAAAACATTTAATATTGTTCAGTGCTTTTTCTTGCGGAATTAACGATCATAATGTAACAGCAACAATGAAATCATGATTCCTGCCGTTGCTAGAAATGATAGATGAAAGAGACACTTAGGAACAAGCTTTCACAGCCAACTTTTCAAAGCTAAAAGGTTGAGAAAAATATTCATAAGTGACACACGAGTGAAACAAAGTGAACCAAAAAGAAGAAGCAAGCCTGTGTAACTGTGCAACGGCAATTCATAGAGAAATATGTTGGAGATTCAGCATATAATCAAAGGCAATGAACATTCAGTAGCGACAGCTTATAGTACTTTTGTAAATATTTGCTTTACGCCGGATTTTGCGTGCCAAGTCAATGCAGTCATCAACAATGAAGATTTGGTTGTCAAACAGTTGGAAATAATTGTTCTGATCGATATTAAATTCTAAAAATGTATGGCTTTAGCGAGGGCGAAAAGGAGACAGTATTTCCTAAATATTCATTGCCATTATATTTACTATTGTTTTATTTTTTATCTTTTATTATTTTCTTATTATTTTATTAGTTAGTGATAATGATGAGGGTTATCCTTATTCTAAAAAATTTCATTACTGTATCATCATTATATGTCATCTCATTGTTTAGCTTGTATTGGTAGCAGTAGTATCATTATAACAATCTGTGACTGAACTTCAATCTGAGAATTATGTTATGGCTCTTTGTCTCATACATATCGCTTACGAATGATATGGAGAAATAATGAGAGAAATAATAATGAGACAAAACCCTCTCAATACTGTGTAAAATCTTGACAGTAATTAACAAATGTAGGTTCATATATATACACACATATATATGATATCAACGCTCTTCATATACATCTGATTTTAAGTGATAAATATAATTTGTGAATCCATAAATAATTGTACCTACCTATCTCTGATGTTAGGTTAGGTGTGTGTGTGTGTGTTAAGAAGCAGAAACAGTCCTCAGAAATATCAAGGTAAAAACTCTCCAAGCTCATCATTAGGGAGGAGCTTTACTTGCTCCAGCTACTTAAAAACATTCCTTGTTCCAGATATTCTAACATCACACACCATGGAATGGAAGGTGCGATGCGAGAACGCGAATTTAGATTGTAGAGTTATCACAGTAAATATGTGAAGGGGAAACTCATAAATGACCCACCATCTGGCAACGACTTTGGTCATCAGGAGGCCCGAGATGGTCCTAATACTCAGGGTTCCTACTTCGTCCTCCTTCTCGGCGATCGTCTTCAGACTGTCAACAGCGACTCTGGTTACGTGGCCGATGTCACATACGAGGATGAGGCCCATTACCTCTCAACACAGCCCCCATATACACCCGCCCCCCCCCCCCCCCCCCGCAGGATGCGTAGATATAGTATGTTTTCATGAATAATATCCATAAACAATGTTTATAAAATTTAAGGTAGCATTTGGATGACACCGTTTCACATCATAATCTGTATTACAAGGCTTTTTTTCCCTCGATTGCCATGTAATTGTAAGTACGAGCGTATGCTGGTGAAAGACCGTCTGTGTTCGAATATCTTACTCTAGATATTGATCCTTAAATCAGATCATTATCTTTCTTTTTAATCAATGGGAATGTACGGTATAATCATATTTCGGAGGTTATGATACCAGAATGGGGTGAGAGGGTCCAGCAACAGATAGCGATGATAGTGGTTACCGAACACCATTCCTTTCGGAGACAGCTTTCCCAAGGCCCTGCGATGGTGCTCCCGATTTATGGCAAATTAGCATTTTTTTCGCAGTGGTCTATTTAAACGCGTAATTATGCCTGTTTAGAAAAATATATTTAAAGATTCATGATTGCGCAAATAGAATTTGAAAGTCTTATTGCTTTGCCTTTGGAAAAAGGAGTGCATCTTATAAGATATAGAGGTAATATGGCAAATGGTTTCATAAAAACAGTACATTGTAGAAGAATGTTTAAAAATTCAATTAATATATCTAAATGCACCTGTATCCTACTAAACTTATTTTCAAAATTAGTCCCTGGCTATTCGTCATGAATTCAAATGGCAAAAATGACATATTAACCGGTGTAGGTGTTCTATTACAGCTTCTTTATATAGGTGAGAAAAAAAATATGTAGATAATTAAACAAGGAATTCTCTAATTAGTAAGTCAAGTGATTTCGTGTGTTGGCGACAGACAGTCTGTTTTAGAATTTCTTACTAAAACGATTATTCTTGATATTGACCTTAAATCAGATCACAGTCTTAGTGTTCCAGAATTATGGCAAACTATGCGCAAGGTTTTGCTCATTGGTTTATGTAAATACGTTATTACGGTCAGATTAGGTATCACAATAGAAATGTCGTTTTAATTATTGATATGCATTATCCATATTTTCCTTAAAATCATCTCGTTCATATGCACACGACGTTATTTCTAACGTTTCTTGTAGGTTTCAATGAATTATTATCATGATTTACATCAATAGTTCGTTTTCGAACATGAAACGGACCCGCATAGCGTGACTGAAGAGGCTGGTTAGGAAGAGGTAGCAAGGCTAAAACTAAATCACCCTCATTACACATTCTTACTTTAGTATTATTTATTTCATCTAGATATTCTTTCGTTTTTTTGTCTGAACTTTACCCAAATTACGAACTATTGAAATAGCTATTGCAATCTGTGCTTAAATTTATTCACATAAGCAGCTACAGGAATCTCTCCCTTACATTAAACCAACATTCCTTTATGACTTTTATCGGTCCACGCACTTCATGGCCGTATGTGTGTAGATAGATAGATTATATATATATATATCTATATATATATATATCTATATATATATATATAGATATATATATATATATAATATATATATATATAGATATATATATATATAGATATATATATATATATATAGATATATATATATATATATATATCTATATATATATATATATAGATATATATATATATAGATATATATATATATATAGATATATATATATATATATAGATATATATATATATAGATATATATATATATATCTATATATATATATATATATATATCTATATATATATATATCTATATATATATATATCTATATATATATATATATCTATATATATATATATATCTATATATATATATATAGATATATATATATATAGATATATATATATATATCTATATATATATATATAGATATATATATATATAGATATATATATATATAGATATATATATATATATATATATACATATATATTTACATATGTATGTGTGTAGATAGATAGATTATATATATATATATTATATATATATATATCTATATATATATATATATAGATATATATATATATAGATATATATATATATAGATATATATATATATATAGATATATATATATATATAGATATATATATATATATATATAATATATATATATATAGATATATATATATATATCTATATATATATATATCTATATATATATATATAGATATATATATATATATATATATCTATATATATATATATATAGATATATATATATATAGATATATATATATATATATCTATATATATATATATAGATATATATATATATAGATATATATATATATATAGATATATATATATATATACATATATATTTACATATGTATGTGTGTAGATAGATAGATTATATATATATATATATCTATATATATATATATATCTATATATATATATATATCTATATATATATATATAGATATATATATATATATAGATATATATATATATATTATATATATATATATCTATATATATATATATATCTATATATATATATATCTATATATATATATATAGATATATATATATATATATATCTATATATATATATATCTATATATATATATATTATATATATATATATCTATATATATATATATAGATATATATATATATATCTATATATATATATATATAGATATATATATATATATATCTATATATATATATATCTATATATATATATATCTATATATATATATATCTATATATATATATATATATCTATATATATATATATAGATATATATATATATATATATAGATATATATATATATATCTATATATATATATATAGATATATATATATATATATATCTATATATATATATATCTATATATATATATATCTATATATATATATATATAGATATATATATATATATCTATATATATATATATCTATATATATATATATCTATATATATATATATAATATATATATATATAGATATATATATATATAGATATATATATATATAGATATATATATATATAGATATATATATATATAGATATATATATATATATAGATATATATATATATAGATATATATATATATATCTATATATATATATATCTATATATATATATATATATATAGATATATATATATATATATCTATATATATATATATATCTATATATATATATATATATATCTATATATATATATATAGATATATATATATATATATATCTATATATATATATATAGATATATATATATATATTATATATATATATATATAGATATATATATATATATATATATATAGATATATATATATATATCTATATATATATATATCTATATATATATATATAGATAT